TTTTGTGTGTAGAAAATTGATCTGAGAATGTTGAATTGACTGCAGTGCTCTCGTGCCCTTTCCCTCCTGGCAGAGCGGGGGTACTCTTCTTCCTGACGACCAACCAGTGCTTCAGCAGCGTGTCGGCTGTGGAGCTCTTTGTGGTGGAGAAGAAGCTCTTTATGTGAGTAGATCACTGTTCTGGGAAGGGCACTGTCCAGCACCAGGGGCTATTGGTCAGACTGTTCACATCCAGAATTGGGCTGAGGATGGGATCCTGGGGATTACCAGTATTTTTTTTTTCTTTTTCTTTTTAAAATTTATTTTTAAATTGACAAATAACAATTGTATGTATTTATCATGTACAACAGTATTTTTTGAAATATGTATGGGATTACCAACATTAGTTGAGAAAAGGTGGCCAGAGGTGGGGAAGAAAATCATGAGCATCTGGATCAGTCCCAGGGGCAAAGAGAGCTTTGAGGTTAGGCTGCGGCCAGCAAATCTAGAAGCTGAAGAGAAGTACACAATAAAAGGGCTGCAAAGTAGCTTTTGTTTTTAGCAAATAATAGGTCATGCTGACCCTCATGAGAAAAGCTTGAGAAGCTTGGTAGAGATTAAGTGGCTGGTCAAGCAGCCACTTTGAGGGGGGGAGGTGAGGATGATGAGAAATGTGACCAAGCTTAGCCCTCCGTGGAGGAGCAAATGGAAACAGCCAGAGGGCAGCCTTGCGGTAAAGAGTAGGTTTTTGTTTCTTGTGTATTTCAAAGATGAAATAGATTTGCCCATATTTACATGATGAGGAAGGAATCAGAAAGGGAAAGATTGAAGGAGGTGGAAGAGTCTGGAGTAATGGGAGAAAGATGTCAGGAAGAGGAAAGTGTAGGACTGGATCGCTGACAGATGTTTGCGTAGAAGCTGTGACCACTGAAGGAAGAAGTCCTTTCCTTTCCTTAACATGAAAGTAGAAGAACTTAAAAGTGCTGAGTGATCTGAAGCTGCACGGGAGGACTTGGGGAATAACAACGCCGCCTTCATCTTCAGAGGGGAGAGAGAGAAAGAAGCCTCTGTTCCTGAGGTCAGCTGTGGAAGAGCTCTTGATTAAGGGGAGCCAGCGTCAGAAGAGGGGAAAGAAGCATCCTCTGAGGACAGGGAGGATGAGCAGAATCGGTTCACCTTAAGTGGGCGTTCAGAGGCCAGAGAGGACAGCATGAGGAGTGAGGTCTGCAGTGAGTAGAAGAGGGGTCACAGCACAGAGCTTCATCGGAGGCTGTCCCCGGGGAGGCTGGCACCTAAGATGGTGACAAGCAAGGAGGGACTGTCTTGAGGATGTGGGAGGCAGCAATGTCAGGTTGCAGGTGGTGGCAGAAGTCTGCAGTAAGCAGTCTCATCCTATGGGCTGTGCCTTCTTAAACTAATCCGGGATGTACAATGTGTGTTTTTGTTCTGCAGACATGAGTATATCAGTGGATACTACAGAGTGTCATCTTATTTCTTTGGAAAAGTGTTATCTGATTTACTACCCATGAGGATGTTACCAAGTATTATATTTACTTGTATACTATACTTTATGTTAGGTAAGTAGCAAGACAAAAAGGAGGCATCTTTGGTCTTGGATATGAGGTGAAGCCAATTTCTCATTGCAAGTGTGTTTTTGGTTCTCAAAACTACAGACCAAGGCATGAGATGAAGAAGCATATGGCACAGTCTTGGAAATAGCTGTTGACTGTGGACATTTTTGTCAAGACTTCTCCAACCGAACTTTAAAAACTGTAAATTCTTTCCATGTTTGTGTATGACACACAGCATCTTTCAGTAAAATAGTTTTATAAATAGTTTTTGTAAAACTGTATTTTATCGAGAGATGCTGTGATACACAAACATGGAAAGCATTTATAAAATGATTTCATTACACTAAAGGTGTATTTTTTACCTGTTGAAATTTTTATTTAGACAGAGATAGATATAGAGAGAAAAAAATATACCCATCTCCACCCCATTCTCAGAGAGAAATGGTGACCTTTGGGGCTTATTGATTCAATAAAATATAAAATAATTTGATAGATGTAGACAGATTCATTTGTGCATTATACTCAGGCTTCACCCCAAGGCTCATGGAATTATAGAACATCAGCATTTCCATATATATTTTATTCTCTAGAACATCAGTATGTCTGTATGTGTGTGTGTGTGTGTATATATATATATATATATATATATATATATATTACTCTCTCTCACCACTCCCCCCACCCCCCCGACCACATCAGAAATACCTATTTTTGACAAAGTACTACAGGATAAGAAACACTGATTGAGCCTAAACCTTCGATTTTACACAAGTAAGAGGTGTGTTGTAAAGATTTAGGCATAGAAACTTCTTATTGGTGTTCTTGTGGCTGTTCCAAAATCTTCAGATTGTATGAGCCATAGTATTAACTCATTGTAGTTTATAAGGTTTTATGAAACATAATTTAGCTTCATTCTCAATCCAGAGTTTTGTGGTGATTTCTCTAGAGAGACTTGGGTAACGGAGGCTCCCAACCCCCACCCCCAGATATTAAAACCACTGCTAGGTCACATAATTCTGATTGTCCCAGTTTCGTCACTAACGCAGTTCCAGCAAACAGTGAGTGATATGGGTAAATGAATGTGCTATGGATGAGTTTCCCGTGAGAAGAGAAGGCAGTAGAATTTTGGTCAGGGTGTTGCCTGTAGTCCTCCATCTCAGGAACTCAGCAATTGTTTATAATTACACATAAAGGAAGATAGTTGTTATATGGAAAGGTGCTTATATAGTAAGTATAAAAAAAGGAAACTATGGGCCGTTCATGCACTTACATGGAGCGAAGCAATGAAATTGGTGACCCAAGGTAGTTGGATAATGGATGACTTTTTTTCATTTTGGTATTTCTTAGAATGTTATAGTGTTGCTCACACAGTAAACAATCCCAAATATACACAGACCTAGGCAGTTGGATTAACCCCTTATTTTCTTTCCAAGGATTGAAACCACGGGCGGATGCCTTCTTTATCATGATGTTCACTCTTATTATGGTGGCTTATGCGGCCAGCTCTATGGCACTGGCCATTGCAGCAGGTCAGAGTGTGGTATCTGTAGCAACACTTCTCATGACCATCTCTTTCGTGTTTATGATGGTGAGTATGAACTGTGCTTCTCTGGGAAGGAATTTTTTCCCCTTGTTTTTTCCCACACATTCAGCTGTCATGTAAAGCCTGCTCTGAGGATTCTGTAGATGGGGACTCTTCGATGCTTTAAGGAGGCCGTATGTTGAAATAGTAGCTTATATTGGAGAATGTACCAGCTTTCCTTCTTGCCCTTATCCAGCCTTTTTGGCTATTGTTCTAATATGGTTACTATAACTTTAGTTAACATGTTGTTGCTAAGGAGCTTTATGCTTCCTGGTGACATATTATGAAAACTTGATCAACTGCAACTTCAAAAACCGGAATTTTGATTGGCAGATTCCCTTATAATTGTGACAGGTTACGCTGGTGTTAGAGAATTGCTAGCTTGTTTGACCAACAGCAGAGATGGTTTGGTTGGACTTACTTCTCTCCATGGTGAAAGCTAAAAAGCTCCGTGAGAATAGAGCAGTGTGTGGCATGGATAGTCTATCTTGAATCCCTGTTGTATTTTGAAAAGGAGTGTTTTAAAAATAATGGAAAATTGTATCTTGAATCCCTGTTATATTTTGAAAAGGAGTGCTTTAAAAATAAGGGAAAATTTCAAAGTCCACACAGTACTGGGTCCACCTTCTTTCTGGATTCCCAGCATTCTCTCATATCGATATATTTCTGCTTATCTTTTTTTAAATGGTCACTTAATCCTAATCTTACATGCCCCTAAATTTTGCATTCACATAGATGAGTCGACACGTGAATGGAACTGGTTACTACATTTTCCTCCATGACATCAAGTAACTAGGAATGCTTAGCCTATTAATTCATATCCTTTTGGCTATACTGTCAGCCAATATATAAAGTGTCCTTCAATAAATAAAAATGTTTTGTTTGATATTTTTGATGCTTTGGTTTATTATTATTATAGGTTTCTATGTAGAACTTTTTAAACCAGTCCCAAAACTATATTTTCCTCAGAGATGCTGTGTTATATGCTTGTGTTTACACTTGGTTAAATGTGAAGGTATTGACCATGTCTTATGCTGTACATCACCACAGGGTACTCACTCTGCTTCAGTTCCAGGCCTTGGCTTATTTTAGACCTGCTTTCTGAACCCCACATTGTTTCTAACATCATACGGATATAGAATGCAAACCCTTGTAAATAAATCTTTCTGTGGTATGGAAATAGAGAGGGCCATGTGGTGCTTACGGTCGTTCTGGTATATGTTCTTAGATTGCCAGGTTTATTAGTGGCAACACATAGCAGATGTATGAGAATAGTCAGTAACTACTTGACTTTCCATTTTATGCAGGTACAGAGACAGTTGAGGACATACTCTTGACAATTAAGGACCTTTCAATTAAATGGAATTATATATCAGATGTATAGATTATCCTTCCTTTAAAAACATAAATAGCCTCTGGGGCCGGCCCGGTGGCGCACTGGATAAGTGCGCCGCTTGGGAAGCACGGCGGCGCTCCCGCCCGAGGGTTCGGATCCCACATACAGACCGGTTCCCGCTCACTGGCTGAGCGAGGCGCGGGAGCAAC